ACTATACACACCAAAAAAATCGTGTCTTTGTAGTAATCAGGCCAAAAAAAACGAGATCGTATTTTTCTGGCTGTGTAAAAAAATCCGACGTGRCCACCGTAGTCAGACAAAAAAAATTCCATAAAAATCTTTTTTTTCTCAAAAAAACCTCTAATCACCATCAGTTTTTTATAAAAAAAGCAATACCAAAGAAGAGGCCTTTCGAAAAAAACAGCGATGTCCACAATAAACTTCTTAAAAAAACTTCGTAGTGAATACTTCTCCGCTTAAAAAAAGTGATCAGGATATTGTTGATGTAATAAAAAAATAACTATATTRTCATAATAATGTTCAAAAAAAGTGACAAAGAACAAAGACAAAGAACAAAAAAAGCGTGAGCTTAAGGTCAGAAACCATAAAAAAAAAGTCCCGCGTAAATTTAAATAGCTAAAAAAACCATCTTTGTAAATGTTGCTTTTGTAAAAAAAGGAGGGGAAACACATAACACTAGTGAAAAAAATTCGGGGAAACACAAAACTCGGGGGAAAAAAAATCCCTGTGACATCGCCAATCAATTAAAAAAAATTTCCCGAAAAATAAGTCATATTTAAAAAAACAAACTACATAGCGTTTATCCCTATAAAAAAACCTAACTATGGTTAGAACATGAGAGGAATCAATTTTTCGAGCCTTGCCGCTCGATTTAAAAAAATTAGTGACATTCACTCTTAATTGCGTGTGTAAATATAAGCCTAGACATTGATTCCACTGTCAAATTTCATGGGAAAACTGCAGCGATTTAAAAAAATGATAGCATATTTTGTATCTGTATTAAAAAAAAATTCCACGTACAAAACACGCTATTAAAAAAATATAAAATGGCTGAATAAAATTGYGAAAAAAAAAATATTACTGTAAAGGATAATTTCAAAAAAACTAAGCCAATCTATTTGCACAATTTTATTCAACCATATTATAAGCATTGAAATTTCGAGCATGTTCAAATTTGCTGTTAAGGTGTTTCATAGTGGTTGGCACTCCCGCGCACCTATCATTTTTAAACGGCCGTTTAACCAACTTAATCAAACTAAAAAAACTTAAAAYAAACAGGCAATGTTGTAAAAAAAAGGAAAATTTTAAAACATGTATTTTGAAAAAAATTACTGCAAAAATAGCAGTTTTTTGAAAAAAAGAAAGAATTCAAAGAAAGCTGTTTTCCGGCCAATTTCGATGGCACCTAGAAAAACCAAAAAAAATGTGTTTAACTGTAGGTTATAGCTAAAAAAAAATCTCAAAATCATGGAAATTCTTTTAAAAAAATTTGAGAAAAACGATTAAACATGTAAAAAAAATGCGTTCTTGCGCTTTGACGAAGACAAAAAAAATCGGCCCATATTAATGATAAAATTCCAATGCCTGAAGCTCAATCTCACAGCAAAAGAAAAAAAAGGCTTATAAGACTGCTGTACAAGTAAAAAAATATGTCTCTTGCCAGTTTTCAAGATAAAAAAATTTTCAGTACATAGTAGTTTCTGTAAAAAAAATGAAAAAGTGTGAGTTTTAGCGTTTAAAAAAATCATTCAAAACTGAGGCCGAATTTTTTTTGTTCTTAACTGAGTTGTGTCATCACTATAAAAAAAACATTGTTGCTAAGTTTCGATTGGAAAAAAAAATTTTAGCCTGGTCAAAAAAAATTAAAAAAAATTCTTCAAGACGCGTTCAAGAATTTATGTTTTTGCTGCATGGTCGACAGCGCACGAGAAAATGTTTTAATATATTCAGGCGGATGTAACAAAAAAAGTCATGACATAAAAGAAAAGAATGCAAAAAAATTGATTTGCTTTCTTTGGAACATGGAAAAAAATGCTACTAAGAAGCATCAACTTCTGAAAAAAAGGAGGGAAAAACTCAAGTCGGTTAGAAAAAAAAGACAAATTACAGTCCTCGTGTGGCAAAAAAACGCCTCCAGTGCTTCGCTCGAGAAGAAAAAAAGACTTGGACGAAAGCTTTGATGGAAACTATATAATCAATCTTCCATTGTTACTTGATAAAAAAAGCAAATGTCCAAAGTGCAAAAAAGGAAAAAAATCATTTAGTAATATACTGGAAAGACAAAANCCCAAACGTATTGGTTTTGCATTCTTTTCTTTTATGTCATGACGGAATGCGTTACATCCGCCTGAATATATTAAAACATTTTCTCGTGCGCTGTCGACCATGCAGCAAAAACATAAATTCTTGAACGCGTCTTGAAGCAAACTTTGTAATTTTTTTTGACCAGGTTAAAATGTATCAATCCAATAGAAACTTAGCAACAATGTTATCCATATAGTGATGAAACAACTCAGTTAAGAACAAAAAAAAATTCGGCCTCAGTTTTGAATGAATTGGAAAAACGCTAAAACTACACTTTTTCAGAGTCGCTACAGAAACTACTATGTACTGAAAATAATTACATCTTGAAAACTGGCAAGAGACATAACTTTATACTTGTACAGCATTATCTTATAAGCCAAACAAATCTTTTGCTGTGAGATTGAGCTTCAGGCGTTGGAATTTTATCATGAATATGGGCCGATTGTGAGCGTCTTCGTCAAAGCACAAAAAACGCAACACATATACGTGTTTAATCGTTTTTCTCAAAATCGGCTAGAAGAATTTCCATGATTTTGAGATATATTATTAGCTATAACCTACAGTTAAACGCGATACTTTTGGTTTTTCTAGGTGCCATCGAAATTGGCCGGAAAACAGCTTTCTTTGAATTCTTTCTTTCTACCAAAAAACTGCTATTTTTGCAGTAAATTAAAACAAAATACATGTTTTAAAATTTTCCAACTAAGTACAACATTGCCTGTTTATTTTAAGAAAATCGAGTTTGATTAAGTTGGTTAAACGGCCGTTTAAAAATGATAGGTGCGCGGGAGTGCCAACCACTATGAAACACCTTAAATACCTGCGAGCTGTCGTCGTTAACTGGTCTTAATTTAAAGTTCCCCGTTCCCAGATTTTGGTTTACGAAAAACATCATAAAAATTGCTAGTGTACACAGTGTATAGCCATTTCAATAACATATTACTTTTTATTGGTGAACTTTTATTCATTTTAGCTCAACACACTATTTATAGCATTGAAACTGTACGTGGGTGCACAAAAAAGTGACTTGTGTAAATTAGCTTCCAGTTGAATCTCATGAACAAGTATGCCTGCTGCGTTTTTGACTATAAAAGAGTAATAAAAAAGTCTGGATTCGCTCTTCGTTGTCCTGTTACAATGTCTCTCATATGGGAGTAATTAGAGTTAGTGATTTTATAGGGACTAATCTGTGTTGTGTTTTATTTTACGGCAGCAATTAAAAGATAAAACTAGTTTTAAAAATTAGAGCCACCAGAAACCCTTATGCATATACAAAACTATATGCCTGTTCATATGTCTGATATTAAGGTCAATATTTAGCATTTTATTGTGCCAATTTATGCTACTTCACAGGCAGAAGAAATAGCCAATAACAAAGGAAAGACACATGGAGAAAGTCAAAAGCGTTCCTCTACATAAGTGTAATGTGAAATCAAAATTAATATAGGAATCATGCAGACAAAATTGGCATTCGTCGGTCCATACAAGTGCACGACTTTCAAAAATGGCTGTGGTTGTCACGACCGCCAATATCGGGGGACTAGTTACAAATCATCGGAAAGAGGCCGCAAAGGCCTTCCATCTAGAAATCACGACGGAAATCGTATGTAGGTAGTGTTCAAAATGTTGAAAAATATTTTTCCTCGAAAAATCATACGGAGGCTGAACTTTGAGACATCTTAGTGCTTCGTCCCCAGTGCCATGGTAACCGTGACATATCGCGCCATTTTGAAAGATGTGAATGGATGTGCATTATGTCCATCAAAGTTCCGTATTATCCACAATACCAGGGTTATCAATCCCATTAGCTTTGCGCTTCAGCTGCTTCTCTTCATCGACAAACGTTTCTTTTGTTGGCGCGTTATTGGTTTCTGGAAGAGTGAAAACCAATACACACGCGATGGCAGCAAAAATGGCAAAGATTATCCATGGGATTATGATATGGACACGGATCTGAAACAAAACCATCAGGACATAGTTGCAAGGAATGTGGTAGCATGTAAAAGCGATAAATTACACTATTAAATGGTCATGGTCCACCAGCATTCAATGCGTTCGTGTTTTAGATTTTAGATATATAAGAAATGAGGTAACTTCTCCAATATCCATTCGCAATCCGTTTCCAGCTATCGGTTTAAATGTCGAATATTACAAATATTTCCATTTATGTAGTAAAAAGATAATAAAGATTAAGTTTCTGCTTATAGTACGATGTATTGTATTCCAACATGCATGAGCAAAAGCCCTATAAATTGTGTTGCTTTGTCAATGGAAAACACATGAATCAGTTCGTGAAACAAAACTTAATAGTCAAATAGATACGCAMAATACATTTAGAATTGATTTCAATGTCAATTTCTCTGTTATTTTTGGCAGACTAAATGATACCAAATATTACGGACAAAAATACGTTTTTTTTAGGATCTATGATAGACAATGCATTACTTACGAGTTCAACTACAAATGGAGCTGCAATTGAACCAAGTCTTGCAGAACCAGATGACGTTCCCATAGCGACATTCCTATTTGAAATGATAGGGTTAAAGATAGAACGGAAGAAACATAGATGGAAAAACAATAATTAAATCAATAGCGCAGCGCGGATATTACGTCACAGATTTCGACCCCCCGCTTGCATTCGGACAAACGTTGAGGTCAACACAAGAGAAATGTATGTGGAATTTACAGGCGCATCATTAAATTCGCTCCAAAATGCAGAGGTTTTGACAGAAAATGACGATTTTCCTTGTTCAAAGCTCAAAAATGATCCAGACAACTATACTGTCAAGCAATTAAAACGCTAGCTGAGATGTGGAGGTCAAAAAGTGCCAGGAAAGCGAGTTGACTAAGTTGCTCGCGTTAAGAGACTGTATAGCAACTCGTCCATCCTGGCCATGTGCCGTCTCTGACGATCTAATCGCTTCCATATCAATATATGAACTGTATGTTGGACTCAGTTTTTTAAATAGTTTTTATTCACGTGACTTTGTAAATAGTATCCAATTCAGCTCTTTGGCTGCGATTTATCTTTGTTTAATAAACTATCTATAAGTCTAACTATTCGCATTGTATACGCTCGAGGATGAAGGACTTGGACATATGACGGACAAACCTTTAAAAACGGACGGAAACATGTCGATTCCCGTTTTGTGCGATGTAACAAGCGCAACAAGACAAGAGCGACCATTATTATGAAAACTTACTTGCCTCATAATGTATTAGTCTTTATTCATACATAGTGGAGCGGTAATACACGATTTTTTTTTTCATTATTAAAATAGTGTTTAAAAGTATCTGTGCTTGGCCGATGCAGACACGTTGTTACCGTTTTATTGATGTTGTTGGACTACAAGAACAAGAATTGATCCATTATAGGCATCGTTCGAGGTCATGAGAAAGGCTTGAAGAACGGTATAAATACTTTCTTACTCAATTTTMTTAAATTCTTTGAGAAACTGAGGCATTCTATTTGTATATCGTGAATCTGTATTGCATCTGCCCGAACACCAGTG